GGCAAAGGACACTGTCAGCAAGACAAAAAGGCAGTCCACAGAATGGGAAAAAATATTCACTAATCCCACATCTGACAGAGGGTTGATCTCCAAAATTTACAAAGAACTCAAGAAGCAAGTCTCCAAAACACCAAAGAATCCAATTAAAAAGTGGGCTGCAGAACTAAATAGAGAGTTTTCAATAGAGGAGTCTAAAATGGCTGAGATGCACTTGAGAAAGTGCTCAGCATCCTTAGCCATCTGGGAAATGCAAATCAAAACAACTCTGAGATACCATCTCACTCCTGTCAGAATGGCTAAAATCTAAAACACCGAAGACAATTTATGCTGGAGAGGATATGGTGAAAGGGGGACACTCCTCCATTGCTGGTGGGAGTGCTAACTGATCCAGCCACTTTGGAAATAAGTATGGAAATTCCTCAGAAAAATGGGAATAAACCTACCACAAGACCCAGCAACTCCACTCTTAGGCATATATCCAAAAGATGCCCATTCGTACAACAAGGACATCTTTTCCACTATGTTCATAGCAGCATTGTTTGTAATATCCAGAACTTGGAAGCAACCTAGATGTCCCTCAACCGAAGAGTGGATAGAGAAAATGTGGTACATTTACACAATGGAGTACTATTCAGCAGAAAAAAACAATGGAATCCTGAGATTCGCAGGCAAATGGATGACACTAGAAGATACCATCCTGAGTGAGGTAACCCAGTCACAAAAATAGAAACATGGCATGTACTCTCTCATATATGGATTTTAGACATAGATCTGGGGAGTGCCAGCCTACAATCCCATGGCCAGAGAGTCTGGGAAACAGAAACTTCATTTAGTGGCTGATCGAAGAAGAGGCAGACTCCCTAGGTTAAGTACTGAGCTTTACTCAAGAAAGCCAGTAACAGAGAGGGAAGACTGATAACCAATGTGATTAAAACTGGGCTGGTTTAACCCCCAGAAACAGCTGACCTGACAAAGGTTAACTCTTGAATCCCAGGCATCAGCCTGGGAATCGAGCATGGGAATGATCAAGACCCCCTGAATGTGAGTGTCAGTGAGGAGGCCTAGGTAATCTATTGAGCCTTGGGCAGCAGATCAGTACACATCACGAGTATACACACGGACTTTGGACTCCCATAGGACATGTGAGGTGCACTCTCACCCTGAACTCTTGGGGAAGGGTCTAGGCCCTGCCCTATATGAAATGACAGACTATGGACACCCCCATGGAGGGCCTCACCCTCCCTGGGGAAATGAGGGGATAATGGGGGGTTGGGGGAGGGCACGGGAGGAGGGGAGGGAAGGGGAGAGGGACCTGGAACTGACTTGTGAAGCAACCTTGTTTCTTATCTAAGTTTAAACTGAAAAATAAATTAAAAAAAGAACCAGAAGAGGTAGAGAAAAGCCAACAGAGAAAAGCCAGGTGCTTAAAAAAAAGCCTGAATAATGACCCTGAGCTTGCCACGAATATAAAGACCAAAATGTACTCAATGTCATCCTAAAAGTATTTGGGGGGTAATATTGAAATAGTTACAAAAGTTAAAGAAAGTACCAATGTTAAAGTAAAAATTACTGTACTCCTTATGTATTTATGTGATTACTTATAGACACTGTTTTCCCTGACAGTTTATAGAATCTGATTATAATTGTGTATGCTTCATCTTCCTCCAGGAACCTCTAAGTGGTTTTATTTTGGCCACTGTACAATTTCACAATAGAAAGACATGTTCATGATGAATGGGGGCATAAAATCATATCCCTTATGCAGTGCCACTCCACAAATGAAGTCAACATAGAACTGGACATGGTCATTACCTGGTCTCCAAAGAGAAAGCACCATGACTTGAATGTCCCATTTACAAAATAAATGTATTTTTTTCTGGTCTTGAACCAGCATCATGCCTTCTATGTGCTGCCCGCCATAAAGACATATGCCAATCAATTCAGGCTTCACTGATACTTTCAAGTCTCTTGCTGTTTCTGCTACCTCTACAGTGATTTCTTCCACTGAGGACTTAGACCTCTCCAAGGAATCTATGAAGTCTTGAATAATCTTCTTGTAAACTCTTGCTAATGTTTCTATTTTGATCACTTCCCATGAGCCTTAGGTATCCACAACACAGAGTCAATATTGATCATGGCTACAGCCTTGAGGATGGACTAATTAAATTACAAGGCTTGGAAGTCCAAAAGACTCTCTGATGCATGAGCTACAGAACAGATATTGTTAGTGGCTTAGAAATTGCACTATCCTACTCTACCTCTGTTAGAACTCTTGGATGACAAATTGCACTGCCCATGACTAGTGATATTTTGAAAGGAATATTTTGAAATAGTAGGTGTCAATGTGGGCTTTAAATATTCAGTGAACCATGTTGTAAATAGGTGTTCTGCCAATCGGGATTTGATGATGCTTTAGTGTAACTCTTAAGGGCTCTAGAATTTTCAAAACAAATGAATAGTGGCTTCCACTTAAAGTCACTAACTTCATTGATTCCTAGTAAAAGAAGTAATCTGCCCTTTGAAGCTTTGAAATTAGGCATTGGTTTCTCCATATAAGTTGTACAAGTCCTAGGCAGCTTCCTCTAATACACGGCTATCTCGCCCACACTGAGAAGTTGTTCACTATAGCAGCCTTCATTGACTGTCTCAGCTGTATATTCTTTATCATGTTGTTACAACTTCTACTTCAGCACCTCCTGGTTCCTCTGCATCTTTACATACAGAGCTATTAGAGTCTTGCATTCCTGTTGGCCTGTTCTCACTTAATACCAACCCCAAGAGTAGACTGGACTGAACAGATGCTAGCTTACCACCACACACCACTCCCAAGACTGTCATTGGTGCCATTTAATCAACTAAGCTCCACCTGATGTTTCTAGTAAAGTGGTATGTCTTCACTTTGAGTTCATTTGTCACAGCATCATTTTTTCTGTACAAAGGATAAGATCAAGAGAATAAGTAAAACCAAGTGTCTATTCAGAATATCCTCTGCCAATTCCTTTCTTAGGGTCTTTAATGAGACTAGGCCTTCACTGACCTAAACTGAAGCTTTATCAGTCCATAGAGTACCAAGCTTAACATGTTCATACACATGGAAAGAACAAATGTAGTAAGCAGATGAAGCCCTAAGTGAATGAAGCCCTGAGTTATTGTGTATTTTGAGATAAACACAGCTTTTCTGAGGACTTCCAAGCCCTTGGACCCATGGTATAATCCAGAAAGCATTACTCATATGGACCAAGCTTAAAAATGGCAAATCTTTTCTTGGGAGTCCAATTATGAGTATTTATTAGCAATTGATATGTGTGCAAAGTCTGATAACTACAAATTCCTCCTCTGTGATGTTTACAGTCTGAGACTGCTCTCCTATAGAACCTTCTACCCAGCCTAGTTGACCTCAAAATCTTTGCTGTACCTAATAAACACAGTGAAGTATTGAGTTGCAAGGGAGTGGTTAGAGAATGCCACCTGATCCCAGCTTCATTCTACATCCATCTGTGTGTTTGTCCTTTCTTCATTCCCTGTTGCCCATAGCCAGGATTCTAGGAACAAGATCTATGGGTTATGGCAAAAGAGAACTGATAATAGGGATAAGAAAAAAAGCACTGAGGTACCTGGTAACTAAAAATGCCGCTGACCAAATGTGTTCTAGAAGTCCAGGAGTAATATAAAATCTTCAGACACAGACAGAGTCATGTGTGTGACCAGGGACAGCACAGGTACCAAAAAGCATTCTGAGTATGTTATGTAGATTTGTTGGGGACGGGATATATACACTTGCTAAGATTCTTCTACACATATAAAGTGGAGCATTCAGCCTATGTTAAGCATATCTCCCTCCTGGTGAGTTTAGGCAAACCAAATAAGTGTTCCAAACAGAGGGAGAATGCCAAAGTCACAGTGAGGCTCCGTTAGTGGAGCAGCAAGAACAGACCATACTCTTATATTCATTTTCATAAACCTTCTCTGTAATCAGCTTGATCTTTTATCCCACATGCATTGTTCTTACACCTGTCAGGGTGACAGACCCTACAATACCCCTCTCCTGCTCAGACATCCTCCGGTGCTCTGTGTTTCTAGAAGAGACAAAATGTGTTATGTCTCAGGGGCATACTCTCTGCCTGGAGTTCTGGTTCAGTGGCTTAGACCGGATCTCTTGTCCTTTTAAGATCTCAAAAGCCACCCCAACACACAAGTATCCAGTGGCACCCATCTTCCTCTCGCTGTCCTTCTCTCGCATTTCCAACAAGCAGGGCATCTATAATTCCCTGAACTTAATTCATTTTCCCCAGAACATGTTCTACTGCTTGACTGTCCTATATCATGGCTTTTAGTACACATAGCCATGAGTTGCTAGAAATGAGGCCAGTCTGGAGAACTATGTGCCCTAGCAGAACAAACACAGAGTCCAAATATTTAATACATATGGACACCAAGGAATATAAGCTATCTGTTAAGAAGTATTCCTACATGGTAAAATAACATTTGATAAGCTAAATTACAAAATTTTGTTGAAAATATTTCACCTACTTCTTCATACATTTTAATGTGTCTACTAGAGAATTTAAAACTATCCATGGGTTCATGTTGTTTCTGTACTGAACTGCCAGCTGTAGCATTATATACTAGGCTCTGCCACCAGATTCTGTTTCTAAGTTCTAGAGCATCAGGCCCAAGGGGAAATTCTAGGAGTTCATTTATTAAGTGCTCTGACCTGTGAGTTTTGTAAAGGGAATAATTTTCCCTGTTTCAAATAAAGGTTAATTCAGTGTACTTGGCAAAGAAGTTCTCCAGGAAAGGGCACTGGCTGTTTCTGGAAACTCTGAAATAACATCCTTGAACCGGCGATATCCAGGTCTTGGTATTACGGCTACCCTTGACCTGCAAAGACCTCAGGGAGCCAAGGTGCTTTGTAGAACTTGAGCTCAAAACCACATACTTTTCAAACCCAGAAGGGCAAGGACTCATTTGTGGAGACAAAACTGACACGGATATAGGAGGGAACTTAGGGAGAATAACTAAGTGGCAATGGAAAAGAGAAGAAAACACCAGAGAAGGTGTCAACACCGGAAAAGGAGAGCCTGGAGTTGAAAGAAGAGGGGTGGGTAAGTCTGGGGAAAGGAGGACCAAGGGGTGGGGACAAGTAGAGTGGAGTAAGGAGGACCTCAGCAGCTTGACTCTGCAAGTTAAAAAGCCAGGCAGCAGACCAGGAGCACTCTGAACTATTTCTCCTCATTTCCCCTGCAGCTCAACTACAATCAACCATGGCCAGTCTGCAGAGGCCCTCACTGCCCCTGTTGGCTTCTCTAGCCCTGACATTTATCCTAGCTGTGGGCCTTGTAACCAGTGCTAAGGCTGAGGATGAGCAGGTGGCCGTAGGTAGGGTGGAGCCAGTTGACCTGAAGGATGAAGAGGTGCAGAAAGCAGTGGAATTTGCTGTCAAAACCTACAATGATATGATAAATGACCTGTACATTAGCAGGCCAATAAAGGTGATGGGCGCCAGTCAGCAGGTGAGTGCCTGGACCAGGTATAGTGGGATGAGTTTGTCCTTTGGAGTATTTGCCTATGGCCCCCATCATTCTCTTATTTCCCTACATTGCATCCACCTCTGTGTCCCTGCAAAGAACAATAATATTCATTGCAGGCGTTACAAATTGAACCATAATATAAATACATTCCTATTTGCTGTTCAAACCCTGTTCTCTGCAAATATCTGGTGTCCCACAATCCTCCATAGGCATAGGTGCATTTAGGATTGTCTCCTTTAGACTAGCTAGAAATCCAGCTGGAGAGTTATGGGGAATTATCTAGTACCTGCATTCTGTTTCCAAGTTCCAGCTTGCCAGAAGTACAAAGGCTGTCAGAGCTAGGGTCAGAATCTGCCATAGTTAACTCTTTGTGGTCAGTGTAAAATACTATCTAGATGACTACAAGGAAAGACAAATAGACCTGGCAGATAGCTCTCACAGAATGATCTCTAAAGTATCTTCCTTTTAACATTTTAAAAGAAAGTATAAGGTTTTAAATTATTTGTGTGTATGTGTGTATATGTCATGTGTTTGTCTGAAAGAGAAGAGAAAGGAGAGATAGAGACAGAGACAGAGAGAGACAGACAGAGAGACAGAGAGAGACAGAGAGACAGAGAGAAACAGAGAGAGAGAGAGAGAGAGAGAGAGAGAGAGAGAGAGAGAGAGAGAGAGAGAGAGAGAGAGAGAGAATACCTGTGAGGGTCAGAAGACAGCAGGACTTACAAATGGTTGTGAGCTGATTTATTGGTCCTGAAAATCAAACCAAAGACCTCCAGAAGGTGAGTATGTACTCCTGAACTCTCTCTCCAGATCGGATCTCTTTTTTCTTAATTTTTGCACAGTTTTACCGCACACACACACACACACACACACCACTTGATGTTGCTATGGGAGCAAATCTTCAGAGTAGCCACAAAGTATCACACAGCTTCCATGCAGGTCCTTCACCCCCTGTTACATTCAGCCATACTTGGGCCATTCTTCACAGTCTCTCAAGGGTGTATTGCTGGAGTGTGTGACTATGTGACTATGTGCATTTACTTTTTGAATGCATTGAAAGTAAATACTTCGTTCAATGAAAAGTTCTTGAAAGTAAGGGTATCCTATACAACTGCAAGATTCTTTTAGAAAATCAGGAGTCAGCAGACACATTCAGTTACCTTACTTTCAGACTCATTCAGTTTGCTGATGCTCAAAGACTGACGTCCTTATCCAATTACCTAAATATCCTTTCTTCTAACAGCCTCTAACCAACTGCCCTGACCTTGAAATCATGGAAGGATCCATTCAGCTGTGGCAGTCATGTTCCACTCAATGAGATCTTACTAAGCTATATGCTCTGCATACAATGATATGGCCCAGAAGAACACTAGCCATTTTATCTTTTGTATGCATGCTTGATGATGCTCCAGGGTATAATCCTATGAGGACACATTTCTCAGAAAGAGTTCCTATCCGTAAGGAACACATGAATCCATCAACTGCTGCTCAGTCTGATTTCTCTAATGTTTCTTCTAGGTTAATATCAGTCATCAGGTAGGTACCCTCCTAAATCCCCTAAGCAAGTGCCTTGAAACTGTCAAAAGAATTCTGAAAACTGGGGAAGAACATTGAGGCTGGTACCATTATTTTAAGATGGGAAAAATCAAAGCCAATACCCAAGACACTGCCTCCCCTCTACAAAGATTCTGGATTCTGCCTTCCTGGATTCTTCCTCTTCAGCATGGAATCATCCTTCATCAAATAGAATAATTACCAAGATAAGAAGGGATCAAAGCCAGCATTGAAACATACTTCTAATATCATCTTAAATGGAAGGATGAGAATTATATGGGATAGATAGACCATAGAGTCTATGGATCTAGTTTTACAGGAGGGAAATTCAGAAACTGAAGCATCAAGAACCTTACTCCTAATTCTTCAAGACAAGAGCTAGAATTCTGTTTTCAGGTACCTTACCTCATAATATGCCTTCCTGACAAGTTTCATCTGGGATGCCTGGTGCAAGGAATGTGCTGAACTCATCTCTAATTACAAACTAATGTAAAATGTGCAAGTCTGTTACACACTTGAAAAATATCGTCAAAGACAACCAGACTAAAAGATGGGGCAGTAATGGTCATTTTCCTTTAGGCTTAAATTATCTTCATGTGTAAACATACCACATTTCCATACCCCACAAAGAAAAGAGTCTTGACAACCACTGATAAACAGAGCGTTTAGGCTTCCCGTGGGATGTGTGCTATGGTGAGGATACCGATGAAGGTGAGTCATCAGCCTGAGACCTTCCTAGAGTACACCACTGTCATTGCCTCCAGAGCCACAGTGAACAAGGTTGAGTTAGTCTTGTGCACAACCCAGAGATTTTGCTTGTTCTCAAAGCAACCCTGGGAAATGGCCCTCTCTCTAGAGCTCTGTCTTTACTCCTAGAGCCCACTGAAAAACAAAATGGTTATTCCTTGGCTTTTGTTTTCCATATCCTGATTCTGCTCTTCCTCAGGAGCACAGAGTACCCCTTCAGAGTTGCTCAGAAGGAAATGAATTGCAATCCAGGCCTGTGCTACCCTACTTAAAGGTAGCTGGTCTGTTCTTTGGATGATAGTTTCAACTGCTTATGAATGGAGCTATGAACACGTTAACTCTGTGATGTAAACTGACTGCAAGCATATGAAATTGACTGGAGGGATATATGTAATCTCACTCTTTTTACTATAGGTTGTGGCTGGGAAGAACTTCTACTTGAAAATAAAATTCGGTCGAACCACATGTTCCAAAACCCAGTCTGATTTGACTGACTGTCCCTTCTTTGAACAGCCAGATCAGCAGCAGGTATGCACATTTACTGAAACCTGCAAGATGATGAGTTATCTTGCAAGCTGGGGAGTACATAAGCCTGTAGGTTTAGGAGTGCAGATACATCTGGGATTGTTTGTGTGCAGTTGTGTCAGTATATAAGGAAAGGTGTATGTGTGTGTGTAAGTGTGCCTGTGTGTGTATGTGTATGTGTGTGTGTAAGTGTGCCTGTGTTATGGGGTATGATGAGAGAAATAATGAATTCACGCTGCAGAGTCAGTCTTAGTACCTTGGGACTTAATAAGGCATGGGTGTCTCACTTATATCATTCCCACTCTAATCTGACTCCTCAGGCCGAGTACCTTTCCTTTAACTGTAACCTAAACTGACTGCTCCTCTGTCCCCTTTTGTAGAGAGTAATCTGCAATTTCAAGATCTACAGTGTGCCCTGGGAGAACAAGATGTCCATGACAAGCTTCAACTGTCACAGAGCCTGAGGATCTATGCCACAATACACTGTGCTGACTTCTCCTTTCTCTAGCTTCTCCTTTAGTTCCCCTTTCCTTAGATAGGGGTCCCAGCCCCAGAGGATGTCTCTTCAGAATGCTAGAATCAAGAGATCAGTAGAGAAGGATGCTACAGAAATACCCTGCACACCTAAATGGCTAGTCCCTTGTTGATTTCTTCTACTTGCTTTATAAATGCACAAAGCTGTAGCTTGCTGTTCACCTTTTTCTCAATAAAAGACTACCATCAGCTCCTTATGAGTTGTTGCTGTCCCAAGGCATGTGAGAAAGTAGAATGGAGCATGAGGAGATGGAGCTTCACATTCACTCACGTATATCACAGGTCAGGAGGCTATATACAAACATGTATGCACACACACACACACATACACATATATATATATACATACATACATGCATACATACGAACTATCAAAATTAGATACAGAGCATATAAACAAGTTAAACCCAGTTGTAATAAGCAGTGAAATGGAAAAGGCAATTTAAAAAGCCTCCCAAATAATCAAGCAAACAAACCCAGGTCTAGATGGATCTTACTACTAAATTCTACCAGATCTTTAATGAAGAACTAGCATACTTATTCCTCAAGCAACTTCATGAACTAAAAAGAGATAGAATTCTACCAATTTGCCTTATGAAACCAGTATTGTAATAATAATTAAACTAGACAAGGATTTACCAAAAACAAAAGAAGAGTGTAGGCTAATCTTTCTGATGCACACCGAAGCAAAATTCTCATAACACACTTGTAATATAAATTTTAAAAACATATAAAAATAATTCATTATGTGCCACCCCTTCTATGCTCCATTAACCCCATTTACCCATATTTTCCTCATCTTTCTTTGGGGTCTAGGCTTTAGAGTCTTCCTGACCTCCCCATCCACACTTTACCCCAAACAACCATATCTAACCTGGTACCACTCAGTATACCAGCCTGTGGTAATCTCTCCTAACTGTGCCACAAATGACCTCTCAGTTTCTGCTAGGATCCTACCTACCTATCATTCAGCCCATGGACCTCTCCCATGCCATATCTAACCTTTTCACACAGCCAGATTTTCCCCCGCTTGCACCAGGAAGCACATCCTATACACCAGGCAATCTCCTTCTGTCTGCCTGACCTCATTACACTCAAAGCATTTACAACATCCAAGGGCAGTGATAGTTTCAAACGAATATTTCTAAATAGTGAAAGACCATTGGCCTTAACTTCAAGGACAGAACTAAGATACTCATTTATCCTATTCTTTTTTGGAATATACACTTACACGCTGCAGGACTGTTAGTTACAGATAAAGAGAACACCAGCAACATGCCAAGGATACAGGCTGTGGAAGTGTTGGGGCAAGGTAGAAAATACCTCAAGAATAAACAGGAACAGTAAAAGGACTATGAATACCAAGTATCTTCTAACATCTTAATAGGTTCCATTGTATCACCAATGATAAACACTCAGTAACACTTAGTGTTTGCTGTAATGGTCTCAGATTGTTACAAAACATTGATTCTACTAAAAAATCTTTGGACAGATAAAGATGCACAGAATTTTAGATTTTTAAATTTAATAAGTAAACATCTTTTTCAATGCTGAGGATGAACCCCAGGCCATGGTAAAAGCTAAGTAAGTGCTTCTTTCCTACTAAGTTTAAATTCCAGCTCTTGTCTTTATGGGGCATGATCTCTGCCTTTGTAGCCCTCTGGTTTAAACTGTTGGTCTTCCTGACTCTACTTCCTGAATACTGGGATTGCAAGGGTGATGCACCACACCTGTCTGTTACATACAGTTTTGATGTTTAAAGTACTTTTGTCCATCTAGGGAATTTACTCATGTGCAGGTATTAAACATAAATTTTAGTTTTTCAGCTTTATAACAAGGTCTGAGGCGGGCTGATGGTTGCCTGGTCACCATTCCTCTCACTGTAATTATGTGGACTCCACTGAGATGGAGTGGAAGAACTGGACCAGCTCTGTTGTGGAGACACTCTGTTGTGGTAGTGATACAGCAGAATCTCAGTTCTCAAGCTTATACAGCACATGATCAGGTGTGCCCAAGTCTCACCGTGTCTCCTGGCACATCTCTAGCAGCCTGTATGCCTCTGCACTGCTTTGCTCTAACAGCCTATCTGCACCTTCCCACAAGGTTTGCCATCAGCCTTCTGAAGCCCAGGGGCTCAGAGCATACATCACCGTGAGTGGCCAGTAGCCCTTCATGATGGTACAGATGTAGGAAAGCACTTTCCTGACAGGGATTGCCCCAAGCCTAAGGACAGCAAGCTCCTTAACCATCAGGCTATTCCTGCGATTCTTCCCAATGTCACATGACAGTGTACTTCTGCTCATCTATCCTGTTTTCTCACCACCTGTCCTCAAATTCTCATGGGACTTTTCGGAAGTCAGTTGCTTGTGTACAGAGGAAGTACCCACTTCAGCTGCTCCCAAGGAACCGATCTCACACTAGAGGGAAACACAGAATTAACAGCCAGAGAGAAATCCAAATTTGTACTAAAAAGTCATCACTGTACATTCTTCTCCACTTTACTAATCCAAACTTCCTAAAGATATGCCTTAAGTTCAGTGTCTGATTCTTTTCTAGAAAGCAAACAGAAGATTAGAGAAGACTTCTGATGGAGAAGACCTGGGCATTTAGCCTTATGGACCACTGTGTCTTGAGTTCAGGTGAACAGAAGCAGGTTCCCATAGCGGCAGAGGACAACCATGCAGGGCCTGACCTAGAGCCTGCAGTTCTAATTTGCAACTTGAAAGTTCTAGTATTTATGACTTTTGTGATCATTAGTCCTGAAGACAAAAGTTATAAATATACTCATGTACTAATAAACATGTTTAAATGTCATGTGAACTTGCACAACTCTATTAATAGATGCTTTCATTTTTTGGTTATTCAAGACAGTGTTTTTCTATGTAACAGCCCTGGCTGTCCTGGAACTTACTTTGTAAACCAGGCTCAACATATTCAGGGTTAGGCAAAGAAGACTGTATGAGAACACTGTAAACATTTAACATTTGATTTGTCAACATTACAAAACCTTTTAGCAATGATAACATTTTTAGTGATAGAAATCAGGAAAAATTTGAATGTAATCTTTTTAATATTCTGTAATATGTAAATTTGAGAGATCATTTTACATTGATATTTGGTAGTTTCAAACCTTGCATAAAACTAAACTGTCATGATACAGAATGTTATTTATGAAACAGTATTGATTACGAATATTAATCTTGATAATTTTTACATCAACCTGCCAACTATACAAAGAACTTTATTATTTGGTAAATGCAGCCTTCCACTTAATAAAATGATTTATTTTTTTCCTAGATGTGTGTGTACCACTTGTGTGCAGTGCCTGCAGAGGCCAGAAGAGGGTGTCAGATCTCCAAAAACTGGAGTCACAGAAGGTTGTAAGCTTTCATGTAGATTCTGGGAATCATACCAAGCCTCAGAAAGAGAAACCAGTGCTCCTAAACACTGATCAATCTCTCTAGTCCCTTCCATATTGCGTTTAGTGGATGAATTTTAGAGCTCACAGACACCTTTGGAAGATATTTTTTTGTAATTTGAAATGTGCACAAGTGACAGCAACATTTATGTGACAAATATGCACCATTCTTATGATGGAATTGCGTGACTAAAATTCAAATATTCATTTTCACACTGTTTTTTAAATTATCCTCTTTCTCTGTCACTGTCACAGCACCACATCTACCTAGAGCAGAGCTCTACTGCTTTCTGGAGAGCACGATACTGAAAGCTGACTGTTCTATATGTTTGCCTCTTCTATGTCACTTTCTATTTGTTGTCAGTTTTTGTTCAATTTACTTTTAGCAGTAATGAAAATTGAACATTGGGCCCCTGTATGGTCTAAACACTGAGTTATATCATGGGCAATTTTTAAGTTATTATTTATTTTTCATTATTGAGGAAGGGTATCACTATGTTGGCTAGACTGACTATGGATTTCTTCTGTATCCTAGGTGAAATTTGAACTTAAAATTCTTCCTTCCTCAGGCTCTGGAGTATTTTTTTCTTGATAGGAAGGCAGACCTCACAGTTCCTCTGGGTATCTATGTGTCACTGAAGTCCATGTCCCTGTCCCCATTTCTACAGAAATGAAATAGAACTCCCAGGACCATTTGCTGGGTACACCTCACTTCACATCATTCTTCACACCATTCACTTTACCTCAATCTATTTCTCAAGGCAGAGAGCAGAAAAAGCATTGACTGCATGAGAGACTGAAATTTGGGTTATAACTGGATAAGTATAGTTAATATTGGATAAAACATGACATTTTGATCCTTGTATGATATTAGAAAATAAGAAAAAACAACAGCTTTCGAAATTTAGTCAAAGAAGAAACAGGACCTTTTGTTGCAATGAAGTGTGCATGAAATATATTGGAAACATAGAAACCACCTATTAGGTTGGGGTAACGCTAACCAAACAAGTGAAAGACCTGTATCACAAGAACTTTGAATCTTTAAAGAAAGAAATTAAAGAAACCCTCAGAAAATGGAAAGATCTCCTATGCTCTTGGATAGGTAGGATCAATTTAGTAAAAATGGAAATCCTGCCAAAAGCAATCTACAGATTCAATGCAATCCCCATTAAAATACCAGCACAGTTCTTCACAGACCTTGAAAGAACAATAATCAAGTTTGTATGGAAAAACAAAAGACCCAGGATAGCCAAAACAACCTTACTCAACAAAGCAACATCTGGAGGCATCACCATCCCTGACCTCAAGCTCTATTATAGAGCTGTAGTCCTGAAAACAGTTTGGTATTGGCACAAAAATAGACAAGTAGACCAATGGAATCAAAGTGAACATGCTGATATTAACCCACACACATATGAACATCTGATCTTCTACAAAGAAGCTAAAAATATACTAGGGAAAAAGAAAGCATCTTTAACAAATGGTGCTGGCATAACTGGAGGCTGGCATGTAAAAGAATGTGGATAGATCCATGTCTATCACCATGCACAAACCTTAAGTCCAAATGGATCAAAGACCTCAACATAAATCCAGCCACACTGAACCTCTTAGAAGAGAAAGTGGGTGGTACCCTTGAATAAATTGGTACAGGAGACAGCTTCTTGAACATAACACCAGTAGCACAGATGGTGAGGTCAACAATTAATAAATAGGACCTCCTGAAACTGAGAAGCTTCTGTAAGGCAAAGGACACAGTCAGCAAGACAAAAAG